CAATGCAAGGAGTAGGTAGTAGTTACAAGTAATGGGAAATTAGTGTAAGGTTATGGGTATGTATTTAAATAAACTCGTAATAGTTTTCGTGGGTCGATAAAATTTGATAATTTCTTTTTCGCCAATTTTATGAAACATAAAATGACATCTTATGTTAAATAATGTTATGTTATGTAAAAAAACATGTAATGAAACATGAAATCTGCCACTGCAAATAACTATCAAACGATAAAAATGTAAACATGTTCTGGAGGAAACAGTGTGAGTGTAATGTAAACACTGGGAGAGAAGATAAGTAAAGCAATTGCAGACACGCAACCGTGAAACTGAGAACATACGCTTTGAATATAGAACCTGATAATGATGTGCACACCAATGAATAACATTCACCCTTTATTTATTTATTAAACGGGCGACCTCAATTACAATGAAAATGTGGAACATATAAATATACACATAAATATGGTTATTGTGGAAGTACAATTTATGTTAAGTGATTAAATTACTAAATTATTAAGATAAAATTTAAAAGAAGCAACTGAATTATAAATAAAAACATCGATATTAAATTTATTTACATGTTGCATGAATCTAATTATAGGGGCATTCTTATTATATACAGTACGTTGGAATGGCATATAAAAAGTATCAGTCTGTCTAGTCGTATGACCAGGAACTAAAAAAGATAAATTTGTCAATAAATCTGAACAGTCAATATAACTATTTAAAAGTTTATATAAAAAACAAATGTCATATTTTACTCTTCTGACTTGAAGAGTGTCAAGGTTTAAGTATAATAATAATGATTCATTGAAGTGTGAGGCAACCGTTAAATATTACATTTAATACTTATAAGTCTCAAAAAAACGATTTTGAATCGCCTCTAGAGAGTGAATTGGACTAGATGTATAAAAAGACCAAATTATTGAATTATAATCTAAAATTGATCTAACAAAAACGCAGTATAATGATTTAAGGGCCAGAGGATTATCAAAATTATTACAGCTTCGCATTATAAGCCCTAGCATCGAAGACACTCTATTTTGAATATGCATATAATGGTCATTGAATGAAAGAGAAAAGTCCAGATATACACACAAATCTTTCACAAGATTGACTCGATTTAATTCAAAACCACTTAAAAAATATTTATTTGAAAAGACAAACGTTTTCTAGTAAAAGTAATAACTTTACATTTAAAAACGTTCAATTATAATTTGTTTATATCACACCAGTTACTTGTGTTATCAAGATCATTCTGTAGAAATGTAGTGTCAAGTAGAGTTTTGACAAAGTTAACAAAGCTTAACAAAGAGTTATATATAAACCAAAGACAATATTATCGTTTCTGTTTTGAGCTATTGACTATAAAGTGTAAATAAAATTATGTACCTATTTAAAATACGTTTTATTATTCAAAAGATCTATTTGAGCAGGGGGTTAATACTATCAAGTCTGCATAACGTGTAATTTTTCTTCGAAAACTCATCACTAGTTCATAATTTTATCAGAATAACAAAAATAATATAATTATTAGATAATTTTTCCTATAAAATAATGTGCCCCTAAATTGTCTATTGAGTACAGTGGCGTATTTACGGGGGGGGGGGGGGGGTA